TCAGACCCCCCCGCGGTGTGCTGGAGCGCGCCTGCCGCTCCCCCCCTCGGCACACGTCCGGGCTGGGCAGGGGCAGCGGCTCTGCTCACCTGGGCATCAGCGGAGCCAGCCCTAGCCCGCCTTGCCCGCGCCGTTCTGGGCGGAAGGGGAGGTGCACCCCCCACGGGGACCCCGCGCCCTCACCTTTGTACCGCTCCATCGGGGCCGCGGGGTGCGCTCCTCTAGGTTCTGCTGGGCGCTGAGCTCCGGCGCTCGGCTCCGCGCCCAGGCCGCCGCGCTGGCCCCTCCCCGTGAGGTCACGCTAGCTGCCGGACCTCCTGGGCCGCGCCCCGGGCTTCGGACCCCGTCCCCGCCCGGGCTGGCTGCCCCCGCCTTGGCTCGCTCTCCCAGTTCTCGCCCCCGCCCCGGCCCCGCCGGGGAACTCCGCAGCCCGCGGGGCTGGTCGTCCGCGCTCCAGCCCGTGCGCACTCAGCGCCCTGGTCTCCGCCCCCGGCCGCCCCGCACGGTCTTCAACTCTCGGTCCCCGACGCGGGGGGGTGGGGGCAAGACAGGGATGTTCCCAAACCCTGGGAGGAGCACCTAAGGGACAGGTTCGGGCGGGCCTCTAAACCTGGTTTTCCAACTGCGGGGACTGCAAACCCAACGCCAGACGAGACTGAGGTCCCAGCCAGGAGGCGGGGACCTGCATGCACAACCTCCCGCTTGACCCCAGATCTACTGCGCTTTTCCCTTGGCCTTCCTCCAGGAGCAACCAAGGCGTCACCCCGCTCCTACTAGGCGAAATGCGTTGAGGACCGCTGCCACCTTCTTGCGACCTCTCTGAGCAGTCGCTGCTGAGCTGACCGCTCACACAGTAGGGCGTGTATGAAAACTTCTGCTTGAGGCCTATTAGCTGTGCCTGGGGAGCCCTGGGGGCGCCATTGCTCCAGGCTCCCCTGAGAAGGGCCAGGTCTTCTGGGGCCACCTCAACAAATCAGGGCGTGCTGGGTTCCCGGGGTGGCCCAGCACCCAACCACGCCGGAGAGGTGGCACCTGTTCCATGGAGAGGCTCTGCCTCTCCTCGCCACCCTGCGACGCCTCCACAAGTGATAGGTTCCTACCATTTACCTTTTGCTACCCGTCCTGTCCCTCCAAGTCCCTGAACTCCCCATCTGCCCACCCTCCCAAAGAGATCCTTGTTTTCCTTTAAAATTTCCACTTTAAATTCTCAGCCACGGTTTGTGCCCGGTGCCTGGTTTCTTAACACATTTCCCAACTTCCTTGAAGGGACATTTAAAAAAGATTTGTTGTTTTGTTGTTTTCTACAAGATGTCTTCATTCTTTCTTGGAACAGCAGATTTTGCTCTGATATCTGGAGGCTTTCTGCCCCAGCAGTCTGCAGAAATGTTGTTCTTAGTTTTATTAGTAGCTAACATGGATGGGGCCCTCCCTGAGGCGGGCAGGTCCTGGGGCTGTATGTACACTGACTTTCTGTCTTCCCACTCACCCCGTGATTTGGGTATTTTTCTCTCTCATGTCAGTGAGGAAACTGAGGCTTAAAGAGCTTAAAGAACTTGCCTAAAATCTCATGGCTGGAAAAGAGCAGAGCAGGAATTACACCCGGGGCTGACTGCTTCCAAATGTTTTCTCACAAGACTTTCTCCCTGCGCATAGGAAGTGCCAGGCTGTTATTGTCGCATGGGGGCACACACACAAGTGAACAATGACTACACAGGTCTGCACTCTGATAAGAGAGAAGCACCAGGGGTTCTGGGAACCCAGGGGAGGTGCTAGCCCGGCACAGAGAAGCCTGGTCTGTTTCTAGGAAGAGGGAATGGCTGATCTGAATGGGAAAAGATGAGTTAGAGTTAGTGAGGTGACAGGGGAAGTGGAGCAAGTGCAGTCTCCAGTAAGAAAGGACAGTGGGGACAAAGGCGGGGAGGTGAGTCATTTCAGGATCAAATGGTTCTGTAGCCAAGGCCAAAAGAGAGGAGCCAGGAATGGAAGAGGTGAGGCTGGAGGTGTGGGCCCAGAATGCTGAGACCCAGGAGACTGGGCAGCACCGAGTGCAGGTGTGTGTGGGAGCCCGAGAGGCAGGGTGGAGGGTGGCATGCAGGAGGCCTTTGTACCAGGTGGGAAGCCATCAGGTGGAAACCAGATGGAGAAGAGAGGGCTGATGGCAGAAACGTTCAGGGAACCAATGCCAAGCTCAGGGCCTGAGCACAGGGACAGGGCATGAGGGCAGCGGAAGGGCCAAGGTTGACCCCGCAGTTTCTGGCAACTTGGTGAGTAGGCAGGCGGTATTACCCAGTCCTCACCTATCCCCAGGGGCTCTGTTATATGCCATGTGTCACCAGGTCCTGCAGAGTAAGCATGAGGAAGGTGTGCGAGGTCCTGCTCTCATGGCAGGGGTGGGCTGGGACCAAGAAACAGGCAAAGAATGAACATCCCTGGTCAGACACAGAAGTAGCAGCACGTTGGGGCCCTGGAGAGACAGTGAAGACCCACGGCGCCTCTAGGGGGTCAGATCATGAGTCCGAGCCCTCAAGCTCATCCCCTTTCATCAGCTACTCTTCCAGGTGGCCTTGGCTCATGTGGGTTCAAGAAACAGAAAAAGTGAGATTAACAGCTGGCATGGTGGTTAAGGCACTAGACTCCCACATAGGAGACTATGTTTGAGTCCCAGACCGGGGGCCTGAAAATCACATCAAGTGCATGTGTGCACTTGCCCAAAATCCTGAGAGGAGGATGCAGGAGAAGGGATTACAGCATGGCCATTGAGGATCATTTCTCACTTTCCCTCTTGCTGTCTCTTTCTCTTTCTCTGTCTCTAGTGAGCACACACATAACCTAATGCAAACACCTTAAAAAGAAATAGGCAAAGGGACCAGCAGATGGCATAATGGTTATGTCGCTGGACTCCCACATAGTCGACTGCAGTTGGAGCCCTGGACTTAGTGGCTTAAAACTCATGGTGGACACGTGTTCGTGCATGCGTGCCCCCAAATCCCGAGAAAATGGAGGAGAAGGGATTGCAGCATGGTCATCTCCCCTGGGGGGGGGTGATTTTTCATTTTCTCTCTTTCTTTCTGATGAGCACATGCACCCTATAGCAAAAATCTCTCTCAAAAAGAGAGAAAGAAGAAAAAGAAAGAAAGAAAGAAAGAAAGAAAGAAAGAAAGAAAGAAAGAAAGAAAGAAAGAAAGAAAGAAAGAAAGAAAGAAAGAAAGAAAGAAAGAAAGAAAGAAAGAAAGAAAGAAAGAAAGAAAGAAAGAAAGAAAGAAAGAAAGAAAGAAAGAAAGAAAATGGAGGTTGTGGCAAGAATGCTGACATCTCAGGGATTCAGATTGTGTTCAGTAGGGCCTCCTTGTGCAAGCTGGGACTGGAAAACAGGTCAAGACAGAGGGTGAGCTAGGCTTTTCGTCCTCATTTTTTCCCTCTTCCTTCCTCCCTCCTCATCTTACAGACGCCAGCACAGTGCCCACTCTCCACTCAACACTGACTGGAGACCACTGTCAAGGCCTGGATTTCCTTTCACATTCTCAGGGCAAGTCTGATGGTGAAACTTTTCGTTTCAAATAAGCCTCATCTCTGGTTCTTGGTCACTCACACTCAGCTCTGGCTGGCAGCTGGAATCAGCAGGCCCAGGTTACAGGATCTAGTCCCTATTCAGCAGGGGCTTCCTTTGAGCTGACACTCCCGCAGGAGAAAAGGGCAGGGGCTGACTGGACTGGTGTCACTAAGACCAAAAGGTAGGGATCTCCAGCTCACAAATGGGGAAACGAAATGAAGGGACTCGCCCAGAGTCTCACGGTTAAGTAATCTCTTTCAGGAGGACTCAAACCTCAGGTTTCCAGACTCCAAATCCTGTGCTTTATCACATCCTTCAGTTTGGGCTTTCCCACGGCTCTTAGCAGACAGGGCTTTACCAGAGTAAATCCTCTGGTAGCCATCGCTTTAAACACTTCCGAAACCGCAACCCGCTCCCTGCAGGATCTGGGCAGCTCCATATCTTGCCTGTCCCCTCTCCCCTTCCTCCCCTCATGACTCCAGCCTCTTTAATTACCTCTTCCCTAAATCCTCTCTAGTTTATCGATGGAGACTTGGCAAATCCCAGAGAATCTCTAGACAAACAAAAATCAATCAGAAATGTATGTGGAATGAATTTAGAATGGGAATTCATCACCCTTTGAAAGAACAAGACTGAAATAACACTACTCAGACCATCCATAGGAATCTCAGGCCTCTGGAGGAAGTTCAGCTGCTTCCTGCCTCTACAGACCTGGGTGCAGTTTACTCAAATTTGAATTCATTGAGTTTCTGGCCTCTGGGATCAGATCTTGTTTCCAGCTCCTTCTCAACCCTCTGGTGCTATAACTGACCCTACCCAGACACACAGGATCAGAAATGGGCTATTTGGGGCCCGGCCTCTGTGGTGCAGTTGGAAGTGTACTGGACTGTGGAACTGGAAGCCACATGCCATCTGCAGTTCAAGTCCCTGGCCCAGTAGGCCTCAAAACACAGCAGGCATGCACGCCCAGGACCCTGGCAGGCTGGAGGGCTGCAATGGAGGAAGGGAATGGCGATGTGACCAAGCCCTGCAGAAGATGCTTCTCTTTCCCCCTCTCTCTCTCTTCTCTCTCTCTCTCTCTTCTCTCTCTCGTGTGTGTACTTGCTATCACGAATTTAAAAAGGAAAGAAATGGTCTATTCTGAAGCAGATAGTCTGAAAACCAAACTGAATAACCCACCATGGAGTCTAGGTAGTGGATGTTCCCACTGAGCTCAGCTGGGAGCAGAGCTGCTTCAGGCCCTCCAGGTGTGTTGGGTGAAGGTATCTGAGGAAGATAATTAAACACCCAAAAAAACTCATTCTTTGGGTAATTTCTAAAACAATTCTTCATGGTAGAAATGTTTCTTTAAACACACGGGGTGGGGGGAGTCTTAACGTGAGGCAATGATAAGGGGTACTTATTAGAAGGCTGTTGCTGGGGCCAGCGGGTGGTGTGGTAGTTAAGAGTGCTAGACTCTCACATGGCTGACCGTGGTTCAAGTCCCAGACCTGGTGGTTTGCTTTCTCACTCGCCTTCTCTTGTTCTTTCACTCTCTCTCACACTCTGTGCCTCTCTGGTCAAATTAAAATAAATAAATAAACATAAATAAAATGATTCTTTAAAGGAAAAAGGAGGCTGTTGCTTTACGGACTCTGTCCTGTTCAATTCTTGCAAGATCGAGGCAGCAGATATTTTTTCTCTCCATTGCGCAGATGGAAACCCTAAGTAACTGGGTCAAGGTC